TGCTGTAGAAGCCCCCGGATCTGTTGCTGATCTGTTTCTTAGCTGTGTTTCTGATCTTTTGTGTGAAGTAGGGAGGGTTGGAACACTCCCACTGGGAGAGAAGGCACTGAATATTGGTTCTCTGGAGCAGTTCACCCATGAGCATGCTCTGTTGTATCCCCTCCCACCTGTGACGTGAGCTCACATTACGCTCTAGTTGGTATTCCTCTCTTGTGTGTGTGTGCTTAGTCGTTTCAGTCGTGTCTGACTCTTTGTGACCCCACAGTCTGTAGCCCACCAGACTCCTCTGCCCATGGGATTCTCCAGGCAAGAATACTGGAGTGGGTTGCCATGCTTTCCTCCAGGGCATCTTCCTGACCCAGGCATCAAACTTGAGTCTTTCATGTCTGCCTGCATTGGCAGGCGGGTTCTTTACCACTGAGCCACCAGGGAAGCCCCTACTCCTCTTGGCCCCACCTTAACCCTGTGTGTGCCGGCAGTTGGCCCTGGTGTCTCTCAGGTGTTGTTTTCATAAGATCCCCCCAGGGCCCGAGGCTGTGGTGTCATGTAGTTAGACCTGCTGTGGGGACAGCTCAGACTCTGGCCTGGCCCAGCCGCCGGGTGTGTAGCCCACGAGTCCACAGGTGCTGAAGGTAGACTCATCTCCACCGTGGGAGCACTGCTTGTCCATTCAAATGTTCTGCAGGCACTGAGTTTACGAAGCAGGTTGTGGGGATGTAAATCTGTGGTTCGCATGAGGAGAGATTTCAGCTCTTTCTCCCTTACACAGCCCTCGGGGCTCAGTGATGATTTTAGCCCCACCTCTGCGTGTGGACCCCCCCCGCTGGCATCTGCTCCCAAGGATGCCCTCACCCATCCAGGCGGGAGGGGATGGATGGAATGACCAATACGGGGGCATGTGTCCAGTCCAGCAGTAGTAGAAGCCCCTCCTAATAGCTACTGTACTCCTGATTGCAATTGCTTGTGCTGTGAGTTCCCTCCTGAGACAGGAGCCCAGATTTCCTGGTGCTCTGCTCTGAGTGGCTCCTGTCTGAGAAGAGGTCCAGTCAGGGGCGATGGACACACAGGTGTGGCTCTTGCTGGAACTGAGAGGAGGGCCTCACATGTAGGAGCAGGAGGGACCACAGAGTGGACTGGGATAGCCAGCAGAGATGCCAGGCAGAGGTCTCAACAGGGTTGGTCCTGCCATCATCCCCATTTGACAGCTGAGGAAATCAAGGCTGGTTAGATTCATCTAGGAGCAAGGACCTGGCCTGTTGCAGAGCTGGGATTCAAACCCAGGGGTGATCTAAACTCCTGTCCTGGAAGACCCACTCAGGGAACCTGTCTCCTTCCACTTGGCACTGAGCCTGGAGACCCTCCCCAATGTGCTCATGACCAGGCAGGGATGGGTTCTACTAGGGACTGGGAAGGGGCTAGTAAGGAAGGGGCTCTGGGGGGCAGTCCCCAGGATCCACAGGGCTCCATGAACATAGGAGGGGGAGGAGGCTTGTGGTCAGGGAGATCTGGCCCCAGGCTGGGTTCTAGGGTATGGGAGAGGCTGGGGTGGTCCTGCACAGCCCCTGTGGGCTCTCCCAATTCCCCGAAAGGTTTTGGGCCTCTACCTTGAAGCCCACCTCACAGTCGACCTGCTGGATGGTGGCCATGCTTCTGTCTGCAGACCCAGCACCTGTTTATTGTGCCTTTATGCATGCATGCTAAGTTGCTTCAGTTGTGTCCAACTCTTTACAACCCCATGGACTGTAGTCTGCCAGGCTCCTGTGTCCATGGGATTCTCCAGGCAAGAATACTGGAGTGGGTTACCATGTCCTCCTCCAGGGGATCTTCCCCACCCAGGGATGGAACCCAAGTCTCTTACATCTCCTGCATTGGCAGGCGGGTTCTTTACCACTAGTGCCACCTGGGAAGCCTATTTTGCCTTTATAAAAAATGCTGATTTCAAAACTCAGCTTCTTTGCACTAAAAAAGAAAAGTTATTTAAAAGATGACAAGATAGATGTGCCATTTAGAAACGTTATCAGATAGTTTACAAATGTGTAGAATGGAAAGCAAGTCCCCTCCCTCCTCTGCTCCCTTGCAGTAATCTCTGTGACGAGCATGGCCAGGGGTGGCTGGATGTCCTCTGTGCATTTATGTACGTGTCACGGTCACGTCCGCTGATGTCACTTAATGACTGATATGGGGTCTTGTGCAACTGGTGAGTCCAGTACTGGGGTCACCACCCCAAGCTGGAGGGATGGGCCTCACCCGGCCGCTCGTTCCCATGGCCTCCTGGGCTGTGTGTAGGCAGGTGTTGGGACACAATCTCTGGGGGAACAGAGACCCTCACACAGGTGGGGAGCCTTGGGGTAGGAGCAGCATGATGAGTCCAGGACACATGGATGGGGGCCCCATCCCTGGGTAGGTGACTCTACCCTGAGCATCTGCCCCACACCTGTCAAGGGAGACAGTGAGTGCCAAGGCTCCCAGGGAGTGGTGGGCTGGTGCCCAGAGTAGAACTCACCCTGTGGCCTCCTGGACTTATCCATCCCCTTATGGGTGGCAGAGCTGAGGGGCTGAGTCCCCAGGCTGGCTTCCCACTGACTCCTGACCTCCCAGCCCCAGGGCAGGTGTCCCTGCAGGTTGCCTTGCCCTGTGGGGGATTGGGTGGGGACTGTGCGAATTAGCTGGAGGTATCAGTGTGCTCCCTCCATAGCACCTCCCAACCAGAGCAGCCTACTCCCTCCGCAGGTGAGGCGCTAGGGGCTCTGGAAACACCATCTCTGATGACCGAGAAGCTTGGGGTCAGGATGTCCAGCTGACCACGGTTACCAGTCTCAGGTAACCTTTTGAACCCAGAACTGTGTGATCGTGGGAAGTCACCCACAGCGATGGCCCCTTAGCTGAAGCTCTGGGGTCCAGGTCTCCTCCAGAGCTAGTGACGGCAGCAGAACAGCCACCAGGGGGTCCACTGTTTCCTCCCCCAAATGATTCCAGAGTGTGGCTACAGGCCGGGCTCCAGCCAGACAGGAAGACGTTAAGGCGGATCATCAGGCACTTCTCGCCTTGTGGGTCAGCAGTCCAGGGATTAACCCAGGGGAGCTTGCTAGAGGTGGTGGCACCTAGGCTGGACTTGCAAATCCTAGGGTTTCCTCAGTTGAGTTCCTTCTTGTGGAGCCTCTGATTCATTATCTGAAAGATGAAGAGTTCTTCCGAGTCAGTGATTCTTTGACTTGAGCGGCAAAGAAGACCCAACCCAAATTTCTGACCCAGTGGGGTCTGGGAACGTTCATTTTAACGTGGGTTGCGGGGAATGTTCTGTGAGTCTGAACCCGTGGAGCAAGGGCAGCACGGAGCCTGGGGGGCAGACATTGCAGTCCTGGCCTTGGCCCCGAGGACTTCCCTTGAGCACTTGCCCTCATCTCAAAGGATGTTCTGAGAATTCTAAGGTGACCTCCAGGTGTTTGGCAGGGAAGCCAGTGTCGTTTGACCTGGGGCCCCTTTCACCCTGGTGTGAGGCTCAGCCTATGTCCTGTGGGGTGGGAGCGAGCTCTGCTGGTAAAGCCCTTGGAGGGACCCCTTGTGGCAGCAAGGTAATTGTGGCTGCTGTTTGCTCTGCGTGGTGGGGAAACTGAGGCCGGAAGGGCTCCAGGGCTGGCCCTGGTCCCAGTGAGAGAGCAGACCAGGTCCAGTTGAAGGCATCATCCCTGGCAGGTTGGCCCTGGGGACTCTTTCTGCTTCCCAGGGCTTGGAGAGGTCAGTGTGGCCACCTGGGGAGCTGGGCGTGGGGTCGTAGCCCCTGTATGTTGGTGACCCGAGAGGGTGAGACCTGGCTACGGTCCCCACAGAGGCAGGAAGGGCCAGCTCCTCCACCCCTGCTTTAGTCTCCCTGTCCTGCCTGGGGGGACTAGCCCAGCGGGTGGGGTAGGCCCCCCACTCCCCGTCCAGGGAGTAGGAGGGGAAGTGCACCCGTGGGCTCTGGCTCCCGAGCCTAGGGCTGGCAGGTGTGTACTGCTGACACTGCAGAATCAGCTGCCTGGGCAAAGAGGAAGCGGAGGCACAGAGGGCTACAGACTGTCCCAGGCTGCAGGAGAGCCTTCAGCAGAGCCTGGCTGCCGTGCGAGGGGGGACCCTCAACCCATCACACTGAACTCCAGACTGCTGCCCAACACCCGCGTCTAATAGGCATTTGAGATCCAGCGCATCTAAAGCAAGTTCCAGGTCTTTCCCCAGACCCTACCCTCAGAGCCCTCCCCCATGCCGGTCAGTGGCTCAGGTCAAATACCATCCATCCCAGTGTCCAGAGCTGACCCTTCCCCACTCCTCTGTCACCTGATCTGAGCCATCTCTTCCAGGGTTTCGTATGGCAAAGCCCAGACCAGTTGGTTTTCAGATCTCTCCCTTGCTGGTCTTCACATGGCGGCCACAGTGACCCTCCCCCTGAGTCACGTCACTCCTGTGCCCGGAGTGCCCATGCCTCCTGGGTCACTCACTGCCTGCGCCCTGGGCAGCCAGTGTGCATGGTTAGGCTGGTCACTCCCCAGACTATTCTCTGCTGATCCCCTCCCCAACCCTGGCCTCAGGACCTTGGCTGTGCCTTGTACCTGGGACATCCCTCTTTTATGCTGGAAGCTGCACAACTCACGCTCAGTCTGCCTCAGGGCCGCCTCCCTGCAGCTGCTGTGGCCACCCCTACACACTTGGTGTTCCCCTGGTGCTGTTTTTACTTCTTCCCTGTGGTTTGTCTTTTCTGCTGGGACAGAACCCCAGGAGGTAGAGTGCTCTGTGTCCAGGTTGCTGGAATGAAGCCTGGTATGCACAGAGCAGATGCTGAGGAAATGTTTATCAGACACCTTGATCGGTGGCTTCAGGGCCACTGAGGAGCCTGTCCTCTGCCTGTGCTGACATCTGATGACCCCCTCCCGGCCCTGCTGGGGCTCAGGCCCTCCTGGTGGCCGGCCGGGGAGGAGGGCTAGGCGGAGGAGCCTTTGATGTCTGACCGCCCCATTCCTTCCTCCCAGGAAACTATGCCCCAGACGTCCGTGGTCTTCTCCAGCATCCTCGGGCCCAGCTGTAGTGGACAGGGACAGCCCGGCATGGGGGAGCGAGGCGGTGGGGCCGGTGGCTCTGGGGACCTCATCTTCCAAGATGGACGTCTCGTCTCAGGGTCCCTGGAGGCCCTGATGGAGCACCTGGTCCCCACAGTGGACTATTACCCTGACGTGAGTCCTGGTGACCGACAGGGACAGCCAGGGAGGGAGGCCGGGCTGGGGAGGGAGGCCGGGTCAGAGTGGGCGGAGCAGTGGGGGAGGTGCAGGGCGGCCGGGAGCGCTGCCCTCCCCTCTCGTGCTCTCCTGCCCCTCCCATCTCTGCCCCTGCTGCCCTAGGCAAGTAGGAGGTGGCCCTGGGGGAGAAGAGGAGGCTAAGGTGCAGGCTGGTGCCTCGGGGTTCCGGGGAGGGTCCACCCAGCTTGGGGCCTGTCTCCTAGCTGGGAAGTTGACTTTGTTCCTGAGCTGCCATGCTTCAGAATGACTTCCACTCCCGCCACCTACAGACCCTGGGGCACCTGCCTTTGCGGGCAGGGTGGCCCCAGTCCTCCCCATCACTCCAGATGACGTTGGCACGCTCTTGGAAGCGTGAGAAAGTGTCCCCTGTCATGTGTGGCTTCACTTCTGCTGCCAGTAGTGACAACTCATGGTGGAGTGGGCTTGCTCCTGGCTCCCGCTCCAGGCGCCCCTCTATCCTGGAGGCCGCGCCACACACGGGGCTGCAAGGGAGGGTGGGGAGCAGCCACCCCCTCCCCCCTCCAGCTGGGCTTTCTGGGTTCCTGGCCCACCCTCACCTGTCAGGCTGCCTCCCTCCCTCCAGGAGTTCTATCCACTCCTCCGTCTGTCCATCCATCTACCCCATCCATCCTCTCAGGGCCCGGCCGGAGCTGCTGTTGGGGGTTCAGGCATGGGAGCCGAGGTTCCGGGCGGCAGAGCTGGGAAGAGGGGACCCCAGGCCCTGAAGAAGCCTGGAGTGGTGCTGCAGCCCCCAGGGGCAGGGACCTCCAAGCCCAGTGCTGGTCTGTGCCAGTGGCCTTGTGTCCACGCCGGAGGACAGCCCTTCCCAGAGGAGCCTCTTCAGCCAGCTCCTCCTGTGTTGTCCCCAAAACACTGTGCCCCAGGGGAGAGCAAAGGGTGGGTGGTGGCAGAATGGGGTCCCTCTGGTGAGCACCTGGGCTCCCTGCCTTCTCCTCACTGCCCCTGCCCTGCAGACCCCTCAGAAACACCAGCTCCTGTTCTGGGCTCTCCTCTGCCCTCAGCTAAGAGCTCCCAGATGTGGCCGCCAGGCTCCTTTCTTCATATTCAAAGCCTTCTGCTTCAAAGGGGTCCTTGAGGGTCTCACACTGACCAGCTGGGACCCCGGTGTCTTCGTGCTGCACAGCCTGGGGACAGGAAGTGGGCAGTTGGAGTTGTCGGGAGTGCAGGTGGTGGGGGCAGGGGGAGGGTGGTGGTAGAGGATCCCCTGCTACTCCAGGCAAACCCGCCTCTCCCGGTGGCCTCTGAAGGCTGTGTGGGGGCCTTAGGGGCCTGAGGGTGGAGCCCGGTTCCAGGAGCTGCACACCCAGCACACACGGCCTGGCTGGCATTAGGCTGGAGCAAGGGAGACCTGCTTCTTTGGGCCTAGGGTTGGAGCGGAGGCTCCCGGGCCCCCCAGCCTGCAGCAACCAGGTGGGGGTGGATTACTGTCTGATTGCTAGAGTCCCCAGGAGAGTCCCCGGGAGAGTCCCAAGTCCCTCCCCACCCCCAAGTCTGCCTTGTCTGCAGGCAGGGGTCTGGCAGAGCCCACATCAGGCAAAAGCTTCTGAGAGCCCTGGGCCCTGGGCCCTGCCATCTCTCAAACCATGAGCACCCCTCAGCCTGCACCACAGCCCAGTGACAAGGACACGTGGATGTGGGACTGGGGGGCCCTGGTGTGGCAGGTGAGGGCGAGGCCCACAACTGACTGGCGACCAGGGGCTTGCAACAGTTTCTGATGTGGGATCCTGGGGCCAAGGAGAGCCTGCCCTGCCTCATGGATAAGACCCCCACTGACCCCCCACCACCCAGGCCCTGCCCCACTGGCCACTGAACATCTACCACAGAGCAAGCTTGGCGCCTGGCCCAGAGAGCACTGTGTCCTGGCAGCAGGCCCACCCAGGCCTGGAGGGTCCCCCCAATATGCACGTTTGGGTTTAGTTCCCAGCGTGGGGTCGGGTAGTGGGTAGGGGAGCCTCCCAGCAGAATAAGAGCACTGGGAGCTGAGCTCGTCAGGGGAGGTGGCGGAGAGCTGCTGCCAAGTGGGGTCTCATCTGTGCCGTGCCTGGTGGGCAGGATTGGGGAGCAGTGAGGAGGGAGGAGGAAGGGCATTCAAGGTGAGCTGGGCTGTGCAGGTGATGCTGGGTCTGGGGCGCGGCTGGGTCAGGTGGAAGGGTCGGCCGCGCCACCCCTGGGGACCACACCAGGCCTGACTCCCTTGTCACTCTCTCCATCTCTGTCTTCAGAGGACGTACATCTTCACGTTTCTCCTGAGCTCCCGGGTCTTCATCCCCCCTCATGACTTGCTGGCCCGTGTGGGGCAGCTCTGCATGGAGCAGAGGCAACAGCTGGAGGCTGGGTCTGAGAAGGTAAAGTGAGCTCCTGACTGTGCCCATTTCACTCACCTTTGGGCAAGAAGCTGGCTCAGGACAGGGCTTGACTGAGCTGGCCAGGGGCCCTTCCTCTTGGGGGCAGCTCTGTTTGTCTGGCCTCCTGGCATTGCTGGAGCTGGGTTCCCTGGGGGTCTGCAGGGGCACGCGTGGAGCACACTCCCAGGGTGCTGGAGGAATTGCTGCTGGTGAGTGCCTGCACCCCTCCTGGTGGAGGACCACAGTGCACGGCTCTCCTGCTCCATGCCAGGACCCCCAGAGGGAGAGAGCTCCAGCTCCAGTTGGTGGAGAAGGCTGGGTCACCTTCTGGTCACTGCCCCCTCTAAGGAGGGTAGGGGGGCGGCACCCTCAGGCTGGAGTTTGCAGTGACTCAAATAGGGTTGTCTGTCACTGTCATGTCTTCTGATTGAGTCAGGCGTTGGGTGGTCAGGATGGTTAAGAAATCACAGTTTATCCCTGAGGCCCTGGGGCAGGGGCTGGGGTGTGGATTTCAGAAACCCAGGGTCTGGTACGGAAGCAAGGGTGGTAGGCAGACTGGCAAAAAGCTGGCAGGGCCTGTTCCCAATGACCTGTCTGTCCCTCCACCTGGCTGGGCCTCCTGCCCCTGGCGGTTTGCAGTGAAGGCCCATGAAGAGCTCTTCCGAGTCCCCCCTTGGGGGTCTGTCTTGGGGTTGCTGGGCTGAGAGGGGGATGGGCACTGACGGCAGCCTGGGGACCAGGAAGGGCTCCTGAGGGTGTGGGTGGAAAACAGCCAGAACAGGGTGAGTGGGAGATGGAATCTGAGGTCGAGGGTCAGCGAGGGGTCCCGTAGAGGCCTGAGCGGAGCCCGCCAGCCTTGTCGGGTGACGTGCAGGGCAGGGCCTCTGAGATGGGAACGCAGGCCTCTTGTTCCTGCTGAGCGTGGGTGCAGTGGGCGCCTGGGGGTTGTCAGCAGGGCCTCCTGAGGTGCTGTGACTCAGTGCTGTGAGTGGCTGGGGGAGGAGGCTCTGAAGGGCATGGGCGCCATCACCAGGGCACGGGCAGAGGGCGAGGGTGGAATCGGTGGGCTAAATAAGGCAGGTGTGGGTGGCTGGGGGCAGGCAGGTGTAGGGGTGGGCAGTGGGGTCCTGAGGGGGCCGTGCCCCGAGGGCAGTCGAGGCCAGGATGGTCCAGGCAGGCACACGGAGCTGGTTGGGGGCAGGCAGGAGCCAAGGTGGGCCCAGGAAGGGTTTGGTGAACCTGAGCGGGGCTGGGCACCGAGCATCCTGTACCCCCTTGAGCTGTGTATGCATGTGGACCTGGGGAGAGGACGCCTGGGGTGTCTGCAGTCCTTCCTGGCACTTGCCAACCTGCTTTTCACAGAGAGAAGGCAGTTTCTTGCTTAACATTCATGATTTTGCTTGGTTTTCATCATTTTTTAAAAAATTATTTTTTATTTTTGGCTGTGCTGGATTTTCATTGCTGTGAGGGTTTTTTCCCTAGTTACGGTGAGTGGGGGCTACTCTGTATGTAGCGTGCAGGCTTCTCGTTGTGGTGGCTTCTCCTGTTGTGGAGCACGGGCTCTAGGGTGTGTGGGCTCAATAGTTGTGGCTTCCAGGCCCTGGAGAACAGGCCCAGTAGTTGTGGTGCACGGGCTTAGCTGCTCTGTGGCATGTGGGATCTTCCTGGATCAGGCATCGAACCTGTGTCTTCTCCACTGGTAGGTCACTTGTTTACCACTGAGCCATCAGGGAGACCCTTCATCATGTTTTTTATGGGTAACTTTTAATTACAGCAAATGAAACTAGTTTTCTATGTCATGGTGGTCTTTTGAAAATGAACTTAAGAGAGCTGGCATCAGGGGAATGGAAAGTGAATCAGGAAAAGACAGTACCGCAGGTGGACGCAGGCAGCAGGGGTCTGTCCCTACCTGGTAGCGCGCAGCCCAGTGTCGGGGCAGGGGACACAGGTCCTGTGGGGATGGCTGAGAGGAGCCATAGACCTCACTTTACCTGCCCTGACCCAGGCCAAGCTGAAGTCCTTCTCAGCCAAGATCGTGCAGCTGCTTAAGGAGTGGACGGAGGCCTTCCCCTTTGACTTCCAGGACGAGAAGGCTATGGCTGAGTTGAAGGCCATCACCCATCGGGTCACCCAGTGTGATGAGGTGAGGTCCCTCTCAGACCCTGGCAGGGTGCCTTGTCTGGGGGAGCTCTCTACATGGTCTCCTTGGCAGTCATTCTCCTGAAGAGGGTGCCGGGCAGCCCCGTTTGCCTCTCACCCCCATGAAGGCAGCTCAGCTGGCCGGCAACACACAGACCTGCCCTCAGCATCCTCTGCACACGGAATACCCTGTGGCTAGAGTGGGAATGGTCCCAGGCCCCCTCCTCCTGCCCTGTGGGTGGGTGCCTAGTGAGAGGTAGGTCCCCGGAGGTGAGCTGGGTACGGCCAGCAGGTCCCTCCATCCCACAGCAGCTCCTTCTCCGCCCCCGCCCCTCAGGAGAACAGCACTGTGAAGAAGGCTATCTCCCAGATGACGCAGAGCCTGCTGCTGTCCCTGGCTGCCCGGAGCCAGCTTCAGGAGCTGCGGGAGAAGCTCCGCTCACCAGCTATGGACAAAGGGCCCGTCCTTAAGGCCAAGCCTCCGGCTGCTCAGAAGGACATCCTGGGCGTGTGCTGCGACCCCCTGGTGCTGGCCCAGCAGCTGACACATATCGAGCTGGTTAGTGTGGTGGACAGCCTTCCAGGGTGGGGCTGGGGGGCATTCAGAGGCTCATCTTCTCACCACCCCTCACAGGGTGCGGCAGGGTCTCCCCTGCTGGTCAGACTGGGGTGTCGGGGGAAGCCTGCATGGCAGCTTTGACCACTGCCTCTGGCAGGCGTGTGTACACTTGAGCAGCAGGTTCCCCGGATCATGGCAGCCCTGTGCTCATGGCAGGGGCTTCCAGGGCAGAGCTCCTCCCACTGGCTCTGGTACCCTAGTCCTGCCTGCGCCCTGGGCTGGGCAGGTACCCTGCATGTAGCAGCTGTGGCCCTGAGTCATACACACAGTCCTGTCCCCCTGTTCCCAGGGGGGCCTTCCAGACCCCTGGAGTACTCCTGGGGGGGGCCTGTCCACTGGGCGCTCTGATCGAGGAAGGGCCGTGGCTGTGGTGCCCGCCCCTGCAGGGAGGTCCTGACTGCTGCTCTGGACACACTCTGTGCCCTGAGGGTGGGGCTGGCCTGAGGAAGGCAGATGGTCACCCCTCCTGTGCTGTCTCCCCGTTACTCCCAGGAGAGAGTCAGCAGCATCCACCCCGAGGACCTGATGCAGATCGTCAGCCACATGGACTCCCGGGACAAGCACAGGGTGAGGGCTGCGGGTGCACTGGAGTGGGGGCTCACAACTGATGCATGTGGGTCTGGTCTCCAGCGCCTGCTCCAGGGGTGGTGGATGGCCATGCAGGGTGATGTATGCTGGTGCAGGGGGGCAGGCAGTGTTCCCAGAGGCCTCCAAGCTGATCCCTGCAGGGCTTGGGGGGATCTCTTGGGGGCCCGTCCAGCAGCCCCACTCCCCTCCCCTCCCTGCTTTCATAGTCTCCTCTCCTGGCTTCTTGGTTCTGGGGGTGGGGGTAGAGCAGCACCCACTGGCAGGGTCCTCGGACTCCCTCTGACTTGCCATGTCCCCACAGTGCCGAGGGGACATGACAAAGACCTACAGCCTGGAGGCCTATGACAACTGGTTCAACTGCCTCAGCATGCTGGTGGCCACCGAGGTGTGCCGGGTGAGTGCTGCATGGCAGCCTTGGTGGGGCAGTCTCCTCCTGACCCCATGGTGTCCCCTGAGGCTCTGCCTCCCCTTCCCTGCAGAGAATGAAACTTTGTAAGTGGAGACAGGAAACTTTTATTGCCAGGGCCTTGGAAGTACCATGCCCACCCCACCCCCCAAGTGATGACTTAAATTACAACAGTGACCCACTGTGGAAGCACCTGTGGTGCCCAGCATGGTCCCCTCTGCCTGCCCTCCCACCATTTGGCCCAGCATCAAACCACCACGGCCTCATCTCCTGCCTCTGCAGCCTGGGCAGCGCCCCTCACCCTGGCCCCACTGCTCTGTGGGCACAGGCAGCTTCCCATCAGCCTGCCCTTCAGGGGCTGGTGCTGGAGGGGACGGCCCCCAGTGGGGTCCAGGCTGAGTTGTCGGGCCGCCCTCCAGGTAGTGAAGAAGAAGCACCGGACCCGCATGCTGGAGTTCTTCATTGACGTGGCTCGAGAGTGCTTCAATATCGGCAACTTCAACTCCATGATGGCCATCATCTGTGAGTGTGCGGCCCCCGGGGTCCCCCTCCAGTGCTGCGGGGCCTGCCTCCCCCTGCCCTCACCCTGCCTGTCACCCCCTGCAGCTGGCATGAACCTCAGTCCTGTGGCGAGGCTGAAGAAAACATGGTCCAAGGTCAAGACGGCAAAGTTCGACGTCTTAGAGGTAGGCATCAGCCTCGGGAGGGGGCTCCCATCATGCTTCGGCCCCTGTGAAGATGTGCTGCCCCGAGTGCCATCCGGTGTCAGGAGTGTCAGCAGACCTGGCTGCGCTGCCCCCGGGAGGCAGGCAGCCCACACTTCCTTGGCTTCAGGACTTCAGTCAGAACCAGCACTGCCTAAAGCAGAATCCTGGGGAGAGATTAGTAGGGGTTCGGCAAAGGCAGGCCGATAGCCCCAGACTGGGCAAGGCTGACCAAGCAGAGACTGGCCTGTTCCCTGAAGTCCTGGGTCGTCTGGGTGGCCCAGGGGCTGGCCAGTGAGTGTGCAGCCTTGACCAGATGTATTTGATCACAGAATCCAGTTTTATAGGCGTGTCTGTGCAGCTGGTCAGGTTTGGGGCTATTGGCCTCCACAGAAGGGCACAGGAAGATTTTGAAGGAGGTTAAGACGCATACTTAGGAGGGAAAGAGGTGGTGTGAGTGCACTGCTGAGACTTCTCTCCAGCTCTTCCTGTGATGCTCAGACCCCAACCCAAAGGCCTGCCCTGGTGCACAGCCTGGTGCCCTCTGCACTTCTCCCACTGGGCTCACTCCTGGAAATGACAGGCTGCCCAGAGCTGGTTTCTGCAGAGGGTGTCCTGAGCAGGTCTGAGGGCGGTGGAGGTGCAGTGCCCACCACATCCTCCTGTCTGCCCACAGCACCACATGGACCCATCCAGCAATTTCTGTAATTACCGGACAGCCCTGCAGGGGGCCACGCAGAGGTCACAGACGGCCAACAGCAGCCGGGAGAAGATCGTCATCCCCGTGTTCAACCTTTTCGTCAAGGACATCTACTTCCTGCACAAAATCCACACCAACCACCTGCCCAACGGACACATTAACTTCAAGGTTAGCTCAGCTCCGTGCCCTGTCCCCACGCAGGGAGGGAGACTGGGCTTCACTCTTGAACAGGCAGAATCTGTCTCTGCCTGCCAGTGGCTGGGTGGTGGCCTCGACAGCTCCAGGGTGGGTCCTGGCTGCCAAGTACCTCCAGGTGTGCAGTGGCCCTAGCTCTGGGTGGGTGATCTGGTTACAGAGGTAGGAGACACGAGGCCCCCCAGGAGTGAGGTCAGGGTGTGTTCTGGTTGGTGGTGCTGTGCTGTGTGTGGGGGCCCTTCTGGGGTCCGAGTTGGCTCTGAAGGGCTACTGTCCTGTCTCGCTGGGACCAAGGAGGTGAGCAGCAGACTGAAAGCAGAGCCTACGTCCCCTTCCCTAACCAAGGTTTTCAAGCTTAAGGTGACAAATCTTCTGACCCTTCAGAAATTTTGGGAGATCTCCAGGCAGATCCATGAGTTCATGACATGGACACAGGTGGAGTGTCCCTTTGAGAAGGACAAGAAGATTCAGAGTTACCTGCTGACGGCTCCCATCTACAGCGAAGAAGGTGAGGGCCACCGCCCCCAACCCCCTGCCCAGACACACACTGTAAAAGTCACTCTGACTCGGGGTGCCCTCCCAGGTTATTCCCATGCTATGCTGGGGAAGCTCAGCTCTCAGGGGAGAGTGCATGAGGGTGGGCTGCGAGCGGATGGGAGATGAAGGACAAGAAGAGATCGGGCTCCTGAGAGCCAGGATGGGGCTGGACCGGCGCTGTGGAGCCAGAGAAGTCTCAGAGTCCCCAGGCAGCCAGGAGCCCCACACAGCAGACCCCTGGGGACCATCCAGGGCCAGACGTCACTGCCTGCTTGGTCTGGGAGTTCCTTCCTGGGCCTTGCTCCACCCTGGAAGGGAGGGTTTGAGAAGGGTATGTGTGTCGGGGGCAGACTGACCGTGTGTGGACGTGGCTTCTGAGGGTCTTCTCGTCTCTCAGCTCTCTTCATCGCCTCCTTTGAAAGTGAAGGTCCAGAAAACCACATGGAAAAGGACAGCTGGAAGACCCTCAGGTAGGAGAACTCCAGGGGCAGTCTCCTGACCCCACGACCAACCCCCATGCCTGAGTTTATAAGGAAGGGAAAGGATGAGGTGGGGGAGCATCCCTGAGGACTTGGGGTTTGAACTTCCCTGATCATCCCTCCATGGCCAGTTCCTGGCAGCCAGACCTCCCCTAGTTGCACAGGCCTGCCCTCTGCCTGGTCGGGGGAAGGGCCTGTGGCCACTTGACCATTTCCTCATTCCCTGCCCACCTTTAGGACCACTCTCCTTAACAGAGCCTGAAGGCATGGATGCGGCCTGCAGACGCTGGATGAAGCACACTTATGTACTGAGTTCTAATCTTGATTGATATGGGTTGAGATGAGGAGGCCTCACTGGTTGGGGTCCATTTTGTACATAACTTTTGTGAAGAAAAAAATAATTATTTCATGCATCAACCTTTGGCACTTAACAAAGTTCTTTTGTTTACTTTAAATAACAGGGCAGGGCCCTGCTTTGGGGAGGGGTGGGGAAAGAGTATCATGGGAGATGGTGTCCATGATAACATCTTATTCTAATGAAATGTAGATTTTTATTTTCTACTTTTGATTATTAACATCTTACAAAAAAAAAAAATTTAAAAAACCCAACCAAAACCAACGTGAGCCCTGCCTCCTTTCCAGCTAGTGTCTCTGATGTCGGGGTTAGTGCCTTAGAGGGTACTGGAGGCCGGTCTCGCCCGCAACCGGGCTGCTGGAGGTGCCGGGAAAGTGCTGCCTTCAGCGCCCAGGCCTGCGAGGGTCCAGCAAGAAGGGCTCGGGTGGCCGGGGTGGTGGGGGCGGGTGGATCTCATTTGCTTATTTCTAGAAGTGCACCTTGAACATGGGCTTTCCAAAGTTTACATTTTCATTTTCCTTTATCAGGGATTTATGGGGGTCACTAGGGAGGGAAGGGGGATACCTGGCAGCGTATTTTCTGTTGGAATATGTCTGGCAAAACTCAACTACATTTTAGGAAAAGAGAAAATCTCAAATAACGTAAGGAGGGAGATCATGGAATTGTCAGTTTTCCAGGCTATCACTTTGAGACACTTAGCCATAATGAAGTGAAAAAAAAGTAAAACTGAAGGATGGGGACACTGAAAGCCACCTTGAAGCCCAAGTACAAAGTGAAAAGAAGCAACTTACAAATCAGTACCCTCCTTCCTTCTGGGCGGGGAGCTCCCCTAGTGGAACTGAAACCCAAAGTTAGCCAGGCCTATATCTGCTGGAGCCCATGCACATACAACCGCCCAACATTTGGAGTTGTTTTCCACACCAAGACTCGAGGTGTGCACTCCATTTTCTGTCTGACTTCCTGGCCGTGGGACCACGACAGCCCTGCTCCCTTCAAGGTCAGAATGGGCAGTCCACACTGTATCCCTGCCTCTTGGCAGGCTTTCATTCCACGCAAGCAGACCTGGAACTACTCACCCTCTCCCCACATGGCTGGGGTTCGCCAGAGTCTCCAGCGGGGAGGCCTGGGTGAGGATGGATCTGTTAGCTGCCAATTCCCAGAACTCCTGGGAGAGCCTGGAGATGTGAGGACGCCGCCTCAGGGGGAGGTGGCTTTGTGATCTGCTGCTGATGTCGCCCTCAGCCCTGGGTGGAGCAAGGATATTCACACTGTATTGTCACAGTGTTTTTGCACTTTTCAGATGTTCTAGATAGTACATACTGTATACTGATAATACATATTGCTTTATGTATTTGAGATAAAGGTTTAAAACTTGAGAATCTATATTTGGAATACAATGTTAGAACCTTTTTTGTCCACATGTTAAGGAGCTTTCACATCAATGTGCACTTCCCTGGGTTATCAGTTCTAGTACCGACCTGCCACAGTGTCTACATTTGCTATTTTGTTTTTCCAATTTGATACATATCCTAACTCTGATGTTTTGGTATTTCGAGATGAACTGAGTATAAAGCTGTACCATAATGCAGGATGTCAGCTACTGGTGTGACTGGACGTACTTGCATCAATAAAAGAACATGTTGCTCCCATCGTTTGCCTGTTCTCTGTGCGCGGCTGTGAGGATGTGGCTCTGATGCTGGCAGGAGGCATGGGGATGCCTGGCCAGAGGGCAGGATGAGATGCCAGGGCCACCATGGCCTTTCAGAGATGGAACAGGAACTCTCACCTCCACATTCTGAGAAAGGGCTTTTCAAATAATGTAAAAACAAGAAAAGATTGTACAAGAGGCAGGTTCTATCCTGCTTTCCTCAAAGACAGATCCAGAAGGATTTCACTAGCAACTTTGAATTATGTGGTCATGTAAGTTCAGGGCCTACCTTCAACGACTGTCAAGGTTCCTTTACTGCAGGGCTGATAGGAACCTTTGGTGTCCATGGGCTCTGTGGATCTCTCTGGGGGGCTGGGGATGTTGGGGTGCACTTGTTGATGTGCTTCTCCATCGCGGTTCTTCTGTTTCAGTTGGTCATGTTCAGGAGTAGTAAGGAGAAAGAATTGTTGAGGGGCACACAAGAGCTTGTGGAACTGAAGGAAAAGAAGTGAGATGCTGCCTTTGTCTGGACTGTCACATGGCCAACCTGTCAGGCACCCAGGCTGGATGAGGTCAGCTCCACAGACCTGACGCTGTTCCTCAGAGCCAGCCCATTAAAGAGTGCTGCCTGCAGAAACCTTTCTGTGCTAGGGGGGATGCTGTGCTGAGGGGGGATAGAGCCAGCTCAGCCCATTAAAGAGCGCTACCCACAGAAACCTTTCTGTACTGAGGGGGATGCTGTGCTGCGTCATCATCCACCAGTATAGTGGTCACCAGGTGTGCCGAGGGACTGGCACCAAAATGTGGCCAGGGAAAGAGGAATAGAACTCTGACTTATTTACATTTAAATAGCTAATGGTCACCGGGTACTGGAGAGAGGCAAGGCCTGGGGGGGTCTCGTCACCTGCTGCCCCTCCAAGTGCCTTGTGGAATGGACAGCATGCGATGGGGGCTCGGGTGTTTGTGGAGCAAATGAGGACCCATGTGAGGATTCCTAAGTGAGCTTTGGATCAATGAAAACACTTTTTAGGTCTTTCCACTCAATGGCATCCTTACTTTCTTGGCATAGTTAGTTTTGGAAGTTACTACATACCTTACCTGAAGAAGGAGCAGCACCTCACTTGTTCTGCATCTTGGAGCTTGAGCTGGGAGTGGGAGGTGAGCTGGCTTGGCGAGCCATGGCACTGTCCCTTCACTCATGGCGTGGCACCCTCCAGGCAGTGTTTCTCAAGGTGTTGGTTCCCACCCAGCAGGAACAACAATGGGAGACTCAGGTATGGATCTTCAGCAACAATGTTAAGGGAACAATGCTGTCAAGAATAAAATAAAATATCCATCAACAGATACATAAAGAAATTGTGGTACATATATACAATGGAATATTACTAAGCCATACAAAGGAACAATATTGGGTCATTTGTAGTTAGTTACGTGGATGAACCTAGAGTTTGTCATACAGAATGAAATAAGTCAGAAAGAGAAAAAGAAATATTGTATATTAACACATATGTATGGAATCTAGAAAAATGGTACTGATGGGCAAATTTGCAAGTCTGACATAGAGAACAGAGCTGTGGACACAGCAGGGAAAGTAGCGGGTGGGGCAACTTGAGAGAATAGCACTGATATATATACACTACCTTGTGTTTAACAGATAGCTAGCAGGAAGCTGCTGTATAGTACCAGGAGAGAGCTCAGTGCTCAGTGATGACCTAGAAGGGAGGGGTGGGGGTGGGCAGGAGGGAGGCTACTGAAGGAGGGGATACATGTATACATATAGCTGATTCATTTTGTTGTACAACAAAAACAATGACACAACATTATAAAGCAATTATCCAATTAGGGCTTCCCTAGTGACTCAGTGGTAAAGAATCTGCCTGCCAATGCAGGAGATGCAGGTTCATAACCTGGTCTAGGAAAATCCCCTGGAGAAGGAATTGGCAACCCACTCCAGTATCCTTGCCTAGGAAATCCCATGGACAGAGGAGCTTGCTCCCAAGAGTTGCAAAGAGTCAGACATGACTTAGCAACTGACAACAAATCTTCCATTTAAAAAATTTTTTAAATGGGAGAAAAAAGAATATGAGAGTTAAGCACCTGCCCATTTCTGACAGCATGAAAGACAAATGCTTCAGTTCAGTTCAGTCGCTCAGTTGTGTCTGACTCTTTGTGACCACACAGACTGCAGCACGCCGGGCCTCCCTGTCCATTACCAACGACCGGAGTTTACTCAAACTTATGTCCATTGAGTTGGTGATGCCATCCAACGATCTCATCCTCTGTTGTCCCTTTCTCTTCCCACCTTCAATCTTTCCGAGCCTTAGGGTCTTTTCAAATGAGTCGGTTCTTCTCATCAGGTAGCCAAAGTATTGGGAGTTTCAGCTTCAGCATCAGTCCCTTCACAGAATATTCAGGACTGACTTCCTTTAGGATGGACTGGTTGGATCTCCTGGCTGTCCAAGGGACTCTCAAGAGTCTTCTCCAACACCACAGTTCAAAAGCATCAATTCTTCTGCACTCAGCTTTCTTTATAGTCTAACTCTCATATCAATACACGACTACTAGAAAAACCATAGCTTTGACTAGACAGACCTTTGTTGGCAAAGTAATGTCTCTCTGCTTTTTAATATGATGTCTAGATTGGTCATAACTTTTCTTCCAAGGAGCAAGCGTCTTTTAATTTCATGGCTGTAGTCACCATCTGCAGTGATTTTGGAGTCCAAGAAAAAAATCTGTCACTGTTTCCACTGTTTCCCCATCTATTTCCCATGAAGTGATGGGACCAGATGCCATGATCTTAGTTTTCTGAATGTTGAGTTTTAAGCCAGCTTTTTCACTCTCCTCTTACACCCTCCTCAAGAGGCTCTTTAGTTCTTCTTTGCTTTCTGCCATAGGGTGGTGTCATCTGCATATCTGAGGTTATTGATATTTCTCCCAGAAATCTTGATTCCAGCTTGTGCTTCATCCAGCCCAGCATTTGTCATGATGTACTCTGCATGTAAGTTAAAGAAGCAGGGTGACAATATACAGCCTTGATGTACTCCTTTGCTGATCTGGAACCAGTCTGCTGTTCCATGTCCAGTTCTAACTGTTGCTTCTTGACCTGCATACAGATTTCTTAGGAGACATGTTAGGTGGTCTGGTAGTCCCATCTCTTGAAGAATTTTCCACAGTTTGTTGATCCACACAGTCAAAGGCTTTGGCATAGTCAATAAAGCAGAAGTAGATGTTTTTCTGGAACTCTCTTGCTTTTTCAATGATGTTAGCAATTTGATCTCTGGTTCCTCTGCCTTTTCTAACTCCAGCTTGAACATCTAGAAGTGCATGGTTCACATACTGTTGAAGCCTGGCTTGGAGAATTTTGAGCATTACTTTGCTAGCGTGTGAGATGAGTGCTTAAACGCTTACCTACTGAAACTGACTGATAAACCTATGCAAAACTTTAACATCCATGTAAAGGCAGAAACTCATAGCTTTAATTTTCAGTCCACAAGGGGGTCAGAGAAGAAAGTCCAGAGCCTGCTCAAGAAGGGTCAAATAGGAGATTTTAGCTCATAAAGCTGCCATATCAAAGAGCCACCCCTCAGCATAACAGTGAACTTGAAATAAAACACTCCTACTCCAATCCCACCAAGATGCTAAGGAAGACTGCCTGTTTTGAACCTCAGCACTCCATGGGCATAGGGAGAATTTACCCCTGATAATTGACAACCACATATCAGTGAGTTTCACAAAGTTTTACAGCACAAATCACACTGGTCAAAAAAACTTCAAGCTTAGAATTTAGTTTAACATGGCCCTAAACTGATATTGTCCCTAAGTTACCCAGTAGAAACAAAAGTTCTGATCTATATTCTAGTTGGAAAAGTCTCTCCTTAGCTGTGTCTAATATACCATTAAATCCACCTACTAGATTAAAAAATTTTTCATTTCTAGATGCTCTATTTGGATAAATTCTGTATAAATTGCCTACTTATACAGATGCTCTATTTTTGTCCAAGTCCACTTGGACAAAATTCTGGATAAATAACTGGAATATAACACAGAAAGGCAAAGGTTGGAAAATATGAAACAGACTTAACATATGTTATTAGAGTTACAGAAGGAAAAAGAATGAGGCAGAGACAATGAAAATTAAATATCTGAGAATGTTTCAGAACTGACAAGAGACAATCCAATTAACCCAAAGATTCTCAAGCAGGATCAGAAGGAAAAAAAAATCTGTATACAGACATATCATAGTGATTCAGAATAGAGATAAAGAAGAGATTTTAAAGACAGAGAGAAAAAAGGTTGATTACCTTTAATGGCCTATCAACTGTTAAGCTAATAGTTTATTTCACAACAGAAATAACTGAAGGCAGGAGACAGTGGAATCATAACATCAGTGTGCTGTGGAATTAAAGAAACCTCAGCTAGAGTTGGAATAGGCCAGTAGGGGGAGGTCTCATACCCAGCTACGCATCATCAATTACTCCAAATAGCAAGAAAGGCAGCAAATATCTCCATCACAGGAAGGTGTTGCCTGCTTTATCACCAACCAGGAAGAGAGAAAACTTCTCTTTTTCTTCAGAGAGTACAGTAGCCCACCAACTGGAATGAACTCCCAGCTTCCTCCAATGAACATTTCGGTTAATACAGTTCCTCCCAATTCCCCATTTTACCATATATAAGCAAGTTTCCTTTTCTTGTTCTCTGATTTGCCTATGACCGACTGTAGTTCACTTATTCTGAATTGCAATTCCTCTGGCTATTCCTGAGTAAACTCACTTTTCCTGGTCAAATAGCTGAATATATTATTAGAGTTGACAGTGCTAAAAAATTTCTCAACCTAGAATTCTAAACCCTTCAAAAATATTTCTTCAATGAGATAAAGATATTCATAAACTAAAATAGAGTCTGGCATAATGCCTTTGCCAAAAGAAATTCTAAAGGATGAATCTTGACTCTACTACATGAAAATTATTTCCATATGAATCACAGATCTAAATATGAAACACAATCAATAAAGCACTTAAAAGAAAACATAGACATTTAATCTTTACTTTGGAGTAGGCAAAGGTTTTTAAAATTGCACACCAAAATCACTAGCCATAAAATAAAGCTGATAAATTGAACTTTATTACTAACAACTTCTGCTTATTAACAGGTAAATATTAAGAGAATGAAGACCAGTCCCCTGCCTGGCAGAAGATATTTGCAATATATAAATCTGACAAAAGACTCATATCCAGAATACAGAAGTAACTCTTATACATCAATTAAAAAAAAGCCCATGAAAGAAAAAAGGGCAAAAAAATGGAATAGGCATTTCACAAATAAGATATTCAAATGGCCAATATGCATCTGAAAAGATAATCAACATCATTTTCCTAATGATAAGCTAAAATCAAAATTAAATAACTGTACACATTCAACAGAAATTAAAGAGTCTGAATTAAAAATGTTGAAAATATTTGTGGGGAGGATATGAAGCAATGAGATCTTTCCTATGTGGCTGGTAGGGGTTCAGTTATTTGGAAGGACTGAGAAAAATTTGACAACACTTGGTAAGACTATTTAAGAAAAAAGAAAAGCATAAATAAACAATATCAAGAAAAAGGTTATCATGATTGATCCCATACATATTACACAGATAACAAGAGGAAATGACAAACAGCTTTGTATGTTTCATCTAAAATTTCAAGTTTATAAGTATAAATTCCTAACAAACAGCCCCTTACCTAAAATAACTCAATCAAAACTGACTTTAGAAGAAACAGAAAATCTGAACAGTTCTACAGTCATTAAATAAATTGAGCTTGTGATCAGAGATATTCCTATATAGAAAGGTTCAGGCCCAGATAGCTTTCAGGAAGTTTTGTCAAATATTCTAAGGAGGAAATAATTACAGTCATACAAAACTTTTCTAGAAACACAGTACAAAGGAACACCTGTAACTTAGTTTATAAGCGAGCAAAACCTTTATAGAAGAGCCCAAGAATGAGAAAGGAAGTACAATATATAGGTATTCTTAGTCATGAACACAGATGAAAAACACCCCAAAAAAGTTTTTACATATACAACACCCATACACACATATATACAGATATGCAACGAAATGCTTGTATATGCATGCAAACTGAATCCAGCAATGTGTAAGCATCATATATCATGACAGATTGGTGTTTACCCCAGGAATGCAAGGGTACTTCAGAAAA